AAAACACTCATACACTTAAATAAAATACAAACATATTATTTATTAAAAACTCTAATAATAAAACTAAATGAAAATACAGATTAGTATTCTTGTGATCTCAGAGCAGGAGAAAGCTGTTTTTCTAAATATGTCATTTTTTTATTTTATGTGTATGAGTGTATTGCCTGCATGTATGTGAGTGCACCTGTGTCATACAATGCCGCAGAGGTCAGAAGAGGGCTTCGGATTCCCCTGGAACTGGAGTTAAGGTGGTTCATAGCTGCCATGTGGGTGCTGGGAATCGAACCCGGGTTCTCTGCAAGAGCAGTCAGTGCTCTTAACCGCGGAGCCATCTCTCTAGCCCCAAAACTCATAAGTTTTTATGAAAAGATGGATCCTTTGATAACATAAAAGATTAAAATTTTGAATGTGATGTGGAAGCACTGTAAACATGGTCGTAGTATAACTACATGATATAGCATAGACAAAGAATAACATAATTCAAAGCCAGGTGGTGACATACACTTGTTATTCCAGTACTCAGGTCACTGAAGCAGGAGGTGTGCCATGAGTTCCAGGCCATCCTGGGCTACAGGGTGAGACACTGTCTCAAAAATATGAAATAAGAATAAGAAGTAAGAAATAATAAGAATATAGTTCACATACAAAGTGCTTTTGTCATCCAACACTTGTAAAAGAAATACACCGGAGGTGAAAATGTGTGTAGGTAACTCACACTAGCGAAAAAAAAAAAAGTACAAATTGCTAATTAAAAGCTACTGCAAGCCATTTTCTTGATTACAGACAAAAAAAACCCTGACACTGGCTAGTTTCAGCAATGAAGGAATTTATAGGAAGGTAATAAGAATAATAAGTAATAAATAATAAGAATATAGTTCACATACAAAGTGCTTTTGTCATCCAACACTTGTAAAAGAAATACACCAGAGGTGAAAATGTGTGTAGGTAACTAACACTAGCGAAAAAAAAAAGTACAAATTGCTAATTAAAAGGTACTGCAAGCCATTTTCTTGATTACAGACAAAAAACCCTGACACTGGCTAGTTTCAGCAATGAAGGAATTTATAGGAAGGCTATCGGATTGGCACATAGTAGAAACAGAGCTGGAGAAACAGGCTTGGGCAGAAACTCGAGAAGGCAGACACTGGTAAGACCTTGCCACTAACTCAGCCAGCAGGACACCAGCTGCTACTTTGCCTTATCCCCTGATGATGCCACACTGCTGAACTCATAGCCACAGACTCATTGATTCACTGCATTACCTCCAACTGACCTGGTGTTGGTACTTTCAGAGCTTACATCCATGAAGGCACATGTGGTTGGCCTTTCTTAGGTCATCTTCCTGAGTTCTAGTTAAAAAGTGTGGGAAGGAGAACACCTCCCCAAACCCTGCCCTGTTTTCACAGTGGAAGCCTGTGTTTTCATCCCTAATTCTGTATCTCTTCCAAACTGGAAATTGGTTTAAATGTTGGAGAGCTGAAAGCCCAGTTCATATTCAACCTCACTCATTCAAATAAAAGCCCGTTAATATGCCGGCAAAGATAATTACACTTCTTTTCATATTTAATAAAATATATTGCCATCTACCTGTTATTTAGTAGAGTATAAGGCACTTGAATACATACCAAATACACTAACACCCACACAAATAAAAAGAAATAGGTATCAATCCTTTTCACAGATGAAAAGCTGATTCTCAAAAAAAAAAAATAAATAAAAGAAACTTGGGGCTGGAGAGATGACTTAGTGGTTAAGAGCACTGGCTGCTCTTGCAGAGGACCCAGGTTTGATTCCCAGCACCCACATGGCAGCTAACAACTGTCCTAACTCCAGTTCCAGGGGATCCGATGCCCTCTTCTGACCTCATCTCCACAGACATTGCACAACACTGGTGCACTTACATACATACAGGCAATACACTCATACAGATAAAATAAAAACAATAAAATAAAAAAAGACTCTCAAAATATTTCCAATGTTAAATTGTGTTAACTTGTTTGGACCCGGCCTTATGACCTCCCAAGGATGGTACTGCCTTCTGGGTCCTTTTTCATCAAAGCTGCCAGTATGAGAAAGATGATAAAACTCAACACTATCTCCTGAGTGAAAACCATGTCTTCGCTACTCACTGCTGGCTAGATGAACCTGCCTAGAGGTTGGCCTGACAGTAGATCAAGTGCACTTGTTCTTTGATGCAAGTTTTAGCTTAAGGGTAGTTGCAAGGATGAAGAAAGCATAGTCCTCACTGTGCCCTAGAAGGGACAGTGTAAGATTTGCTATGGGATGCTGTTAGGAAAAATCTTAAAGAATGAACACCTTAGCCTATCCAGCAAGGGCCTATTCTGGTCAAGCCAGGATTGGATGGTTTGGGGGAACCTAGGGACCAGTAACCCTAGGATAGTAGGAAGGGGTCTTGTAGGAAAGGATGTTCTAAGATATCCCACCAGAAGTCTGGATGCCATTTAGATATACTGCTGTCAAATAATCAACCTGCTCTAAGACAACTAACTACCTTATGTGGGTATCTGAGAATGAGTAAGATGGGTGTGTGTCCTCTGGACTGAGCCTACAGTTTAGTGAAGGTGACAGATTGTAAGTTGAATTCCAATATGGTCAAGTTGATGCCATGATCAAAAGGCACTAAGAGAGGGGCTGGAGAGATGGCTCAGCAGTTAAGAGCATTAGCTGCTCTTGTAGAGGACCCAGGTTCACTTCCCAGCACTCATAAGGTGGCTAACAACCGTCTGTAGCTCCAGTTCCAGAGGATCCAACACCTTCTTCTAACCTCTGCAGGCACTGTATGACATGAGTTGCAGGCAATATATGCATACACATAAAATAAAAAATAAAAAGAATAAAATATTTTTAAAAGGTACTAAGACAGACTGCAGAAATGATGCTTCCAGGAGGAGTTGACACCTAAGGGAAGATTTTAAGGATGAAGAGAGGTGAGCTAAGTGAAGAAGTTCAAGGAAAGATATCCACAGCTGATGGAGCTACTTGGACAAAGGCTCTGGATCATGAGGAGCAGCAAACGTGTGTGCAAAGTTGGAGGGCCATCAGGTTCAGCTTTCATCATGATCAGACGGCTCAAGGAGCTCAGGCACAGTTAGGAATAGATGTTTTGGTTATGAGGTAGAAGTGGAGGTAGTTTGCACCCTCAGGGCATCGCTATAGGACCCTAGGAGGCGGGAGGCAAAAACTGTTTACTTTGAAATGGCCTTCATGTTTTAAAAAGGCGATTGGCTTTCTTCCCTAATTTCTGTGCAGGAACCAGGATTCAGGCTGGCCCTGTCAGCAAAGAGAACACACAAAGATGAGGTCAGAAACTAGTGGGCTTTGGGTGGAAGACAGTCTTAACACATGCTGTTCTTTTTTTCCCTCATGCACTATTTTTCCCTTTTAAAGACTGAACCAACATTTAAAAATAGGATCTTCACCTTCTCTTTGAAAATCAGATGATCTGGCAAATTGAGCCCTCATTCTCACGTGTGAACGACTGACTGGAGGCAAGTGACAGCCATTCCTTTAAAGAAAGTAAATTTGCCGTTTGCCATTGTCCCCACCAGTCTTTTTATTCCCAAGTCAAATGACGTATGAAGAGATCAGCAGATCATCCTTCACCTGGGTTCTTCCTTCATTGCCATGACCTACCTGGTACCTGTGATAGTTGTGGGTCTGTGATCCTTGGTTTAAAGCTCAAGTTTAGGGCTTTGACTCAAACTTGGGGTTAAATGAGGTAATCCCAAAGGTGTCGAATTGAAGATTAAAGAAGATACTTCAAGTTTGGAATAACGTTTGGAACAGAGAGACTCTCATGAATGAGCAACCATTCAAAGTGTAAGTTGTATGAGGGCAGGCGGAAAACCTGTTCGTTTCATTTTTGTAGCATCCTTAGCGTCTAGCACAGTATTTGACACAAAACAGGTGCTCAGGTAGTTATTGAATGAATGAATAATGGAAGAGCTCGGTCGGTTTTAAAGGTTGGTCTTCACAGGACTTTTAAGGAAGGTAATTCTAATAATACTGGTTTGTTGGGGCACCATGGTACATCCTGGAATAAAAATCCCGCCAGAATGTGCCAGGCTCCATGTCCGCGGTTCGGTGGTACGCGCGAGTCCTTCAGGAGCCAGACACAGTTGACTGGCCCAGGACGAGACAAGGCCACGTCCATCAGCTCGTCAGTCATCTGGTAATGAGCAGCCTGACCTACATACGCTTTCTAGACCACCCATAGGAACAAAGATCAAGACCCACTCCTAGAATCCACCACCGAAGGCGAAATCGGCGTTCTGGACCATGCCCTTACTAAACATGGCCGCTCTCCAGCTTCAACGCCGCTGAACCGCGCCCGGATTAAGGATTCCCTCGCGTTGCCCTGGAGAGGCAACGGGGTTCCCACAGGCAACATGGCGGCGGCGCGGCTTCAGCGCTGGGCGGGGCGGTGGCGCCAGCTGGTCACGTGAGCGGCCCAGCTGGGAGGCCTAGGCGCGCACGCGCGCCCCTCCAGCTGCCGCTCGCTCGTTCCATATCTCAGCAGCGCTCTGAGGTGTTTCGGGGCTTGAAGCCCCCAGGGCTCAGAGAGGCGCGGCGCGGCGGGATGCGGCGACTGTGGCGGGGCCGAGGGCCGGGCGGGCGGGCACAGTGATGAGCGCCGGCGGCTGCCGCCAT